TCTTATTTATTTTTTGTTTTAAATCTAAATTGACAAAGGACTGATTTACAAGATTCATAAATTTTCAGCTAAGCAATGAAAAGTGAAAATTCTATCTATCAAGAGAAAATTATTTTACAAGTTTTCTTTTTGTAATTTTATAGGTAGTAGATACCTAATATTTAAAAGAAAAAACATTTTACTATGAGTATTTCTGGTAACGACGTCAAACGATGTATGTATTCTCTATCCAATGTTATATTTTTTGTTCTATTAAATTTTCTTTATTCATATATTCTAGCATCTTTTCCCGTCGGTGAATCAGGTACGAGTGTAACAACTGTAACATTCGGTCATCGTTCCAGTAAATTATTGGCAACGGGTAGTGATGATAATGCCATACATATTTATTTAATTGGTCAACCAACATCATTACTTGTATGTTAATTTTATTTGTTTGTTTGTTTTTTTGTAAATCTTTGATTTAACGTTTATTTAGACATCACGATGTCAAACAAGTGCCATAACTGCATTAAGATTTTCAAATGAAGAAAATTTATTAGCATCAGGTAGTCGTTCGGGTGCAGTTAAAATTTGTGATCTTGAAAGTCAAAAAGGTAAAAAGAAAAATGAATTTTATTTTAAATAAATTTTAAAGAGATTTCTACGGACTTAGTTATATATCCTGGTGGTCATAAAACATGTATACGTTCAATTGAATATTTTCCATCAAGTAATAATTTTCTAGCAACAGGCGCTGTTGATGGTACAGCAAAGGTTTGTTAAATGAAATTTTATTTTTCAAGTTTTGCTTTATTTTTTTATTATTTTACTTTAGCTTTGGGATCCAAGACGAAAAGGTTTTATATTCAATTATAAAGGACATAATGGAGCTATAAATGCATTGAAATTTTCTCCCGATGGTCGATTTTTAATTTCTGCCTCAGATGATACAGCTATTCGAGTAAAAGAATTGTATATTTTTACATACTTAAATATATATATTTTTTTAAAAATTAGATGTGGGATGTTACAGCTGGTAAAGTATTAAAAGCTTTTCAAGAACATCAAGGACCTGTATGTACAGTCGAATATCATCCAAAAGAACTTTTACTTGCATCAGGTGGTGCTGATAGGTACATCATTTGATTATTGAATAATAAATATAACTCATAATTGTCTCTTGTTCTTTTTATTTAGAAAAATTAAATTTTGGGATCTTGAAAAACTTCAATTTATTTGTGAAACAGAAATAGAAACATCAGCAATTAGGTAAAATATGATAAAATAATTTTGTTTTTTGTTTTTCTATAAAATGATTTATTTCGTTTAGATGTTTAGCATTTGAACCAACAAATGCTAGTTATGTACTTTCAGGATCAAATGATATGTTACGTGTTTATAATTGGGAACCAGTTCAATTACTTGATACTGTTCAAATGGGCTGGAAAAATATTCTGGATATGACTATACATAAAGAACAACTTGTATGTCTTTATTA